GGAGCTCCACGCATGGCTTGATCTCATGACCCTGAGATCGTGACCTGAGCTGAAATCAAGAGTCAGATGCTTAACCAACTGAGCCATCCAGGTGCCCCAACAAAATTTATATTCATTCAATGGAACATCATTCAGCATTAAAAAGAAATGAAGCATTGATAGGTCCTCTAATGTGGATGACCCTTGAATACATTATGCTAAGTGAAAGAAGCCAGTCACAATTCTATGATCCCATATATACGAAATGTTCAGAATAGACAAATCTATAAAGACGGAAAGTAGATGATGGAGGTGGGAGTGGGGAGTGACTGCAATGGACACGGTTTCTTTTTAAGGTGATGAAAATATCCTAAAATTAATTGTGGCAAATCATAATCTTAACTCTGTGAATATACTAAAAAAGCCATTGAATTATAGACTTTAAATAGGTGAATTATGTGGTATGTGAATTATGTCTTAGCATTGCTATTAAAAAAAAGATGATTGAAACATGACCTGATCATCTTTTCTTGGCAATGTGAAGTCATCGGCTGATGGTTGTCAGTTTCTCATGAGAACCCAGATACTGGTGGAAAGTTGCAGGGCACTCAGTAGCATTGGAGCAGGGATGTCTTCCTTCAGTTGAAGTCAGAGTATGATCACAAGAGGCTTTCCTTGAAAGCGCACAGAAGTGCAGCCCTTTGAGCCTTGGCCCTCATTCTTCCTGGTGAGACATTTATTTGGGTCTTACCCCAGGAGGCAGAAATAGCTGGTCGGAGATCAAGCCAGCTTAGAAGTCTAGTTTGTCTAGTCTATGAGGTGATGACTGTTTTTTTCTCCTTGAAACCGGAAGAAACGGGGCACCTGGGTGGCTCAGTTGGATAAGCGTCTGCCTTCAGCTCAGGTTGTGATCCCAGATCGAGCCCCGTGTTGGGCTCCCTGCTCAGCGGGGAGCCTGCTTCTCCCTCTCCCTCTGCCCTTCCCCCTGCTTATGCTCATGCACACTGTCTCTCTGTCAAATAAATAAATAATTTAAAAAAAATAAAAAAATTAACAATATGGTGCTATCCTTTTTAAAAACACATTCTCTCAAGTGAGGAAGACACTGATCCCTCTTGGTCTCTTTACTATTGGCAGAAGGAATCTTTGTATCAGTAAAGGAATTCCACAGCTCCTTAAATTCTCTTGTTATCTTCCAGCTTGGATATGACTTAGTTTTTCAGTCCTAGGTGAGGCAGTGTTTTCTGAGAGAGAGACTCCTTTGGAAACTAGGTCCAGAGAATTTTGGCAAGTTATCTAGATGTGATTAAACATCGAGACTGAGCTGCATTGAGAGCTAGGTTTTGTTTTTTTTTAAGATTTTATGTATGTATTTGTCAGAGAGAGAGTGAGAGCACAAGTGAGGGGCGGGGTGGGGAGCTGCAGGCAGAGAGAGAAGCAGGCTCCCCGCTGAGCAAGGAACCCGATGCGGGCTCGATCCCAGGACCCTGAGATCATGACCTGAGCCAAAGTCAAGAGTCCGATGCTCCACCAACTAAGCTACCCAGGCGCCCCTCTTTCCTTTTTTTTTTAAGATTTAATTTGTTAGCGCGCATGCGCACACGAGCTGGGGGTGGAGCAGAGGGAGAGAGACAAGCTGACTCTGTGCTGAGCGCAGATCCTAACATGGGGCTCAATCCCATGGCCCCGAGATCACGACCTGAGCCGAAACCAAGAGTTGGTTGCTCAACCGACTGAGCCACCCAGGCACCTCTTCCTTTCCTTTTATAAAATCTGGAACCATTCTCCAATATTTCTGTGTTTCAGGTTATATTAGAGACCTAGGGCTTTTGTTTTGTTGGTTTCTAACAGTATATATTAGTCACTTTTCCATATTGATTTGAGAACAGTGAAACATAGAGATTGAGCCAGGGTTGTGGGGCCAGACTACCTGGCTTCCAATCCTGGTTTTACTATTTAAACAAGTTTTCTTACCAGTGCAGTGGGGATACTGATACTACCTCTTAGGGTTGTGAGAAGTAACTGAATGGGTATGCGCACATTACTGGCTACAGTGCCTGGCGCAGAGTAAGCGCTCCGAAAATGCCAGCTATTCTCGTTCACACCACTAAATGCCATTCCCAGGGGACGCTTTGCAGACTTGTTGGCAGTCGCTGTTGTGGCTCTATTCTCTCGCTCCCCTCTCCTACTCTCCTTGTCTTCATACCTAGGTTCCAGAGAGCAAACGTGGCCAGCTTCCTCCACGGCACTATGCCTTAGGTTGGAAAAAACAACTCTTAAGAGAGTGGCTCCTAAATGCTGGTTCATGAACTAGTATTGGTTGGTAACGAGTTTCACTGATCTTTTTTTTTAAGATTTTATTTCTTTATTTGACAGAGAGCACAAGCAGGGGGAGCGGCAGGCAGAGAGGGAGAGGCAGGCTCCCATATCTCATTCATCTTCATGACCAGCCCTGTGAGCTAGCTCTGTATTATTCTCCCTGCTTACAGGGAGAAAATGGAATCTCGAGGAGCTAATGTAATCCACCCAAGGTTGTGCAGCTCTGAGCATATACCTGCAGTTAGAACCCAGGTCTCCCTGATTACCAAGGCCGTGTGGGCTCCTTTTTCTGTCTAGTGGTTTACAATTACTTGTGTGCTTGGGATCTGTGGGATTTTAGCATAGGATCCATAAGTCCACAAGTTCATGGGTCTCTCTTCAGTCAAGATAGGCTGAAGGTACAATTACCACATAGAGGGTCTTTTTTTTTTTTTAAGTGGCCTTGTAGTACAAAAGTTTGGAAACATTTCTTCACTCTACAGGCAATAATCATTTGGACAATAGGTAGGAGTGCCTAATTTTTAGTGACTCTTAAATTAGGAATGAAACTACCACCTTGCCCGAGTCTGAGGGAATCTTCAGCCTTTGGTTCTAGTTATATATAGGCTGCTTTCCAAGGAAAGAAAATGAGCAGCTCTGTGAAATTAGTGGCTTCCCAAGGAACACTTAAGAACTCCTGACTGGGCATGGAAAATAAGAGGGCATTTAAAGACTTACTACGAGTGTGAGGTGAAAAGTTGAAGGCCAAGTCACGAGTTGCTGAAGTCGACAGATTCTGGCTCCAAAGCTGTGGGGTGCTGTGTCTGGTGCAGTATTAAATTTGGCCGCACATTACAACTGTCTGTGGTGCTTTTTGAAAAATACATGATCCTGTGTCCTGCCGCCCCCCCCGCCCCTGACTCTCTGGCTGAGGGACCCACATGTGATTGCAGCTGGAAAGCTCTCCCAGGAGATGCTGGGGACCAGCTTACCTCTGGCTCTTACCGGATAATCGGATGCCTCACCAGCCTTGGGAATAGGAAGGCTCTGATGGGTTAAGGACAGTTGTCCCAGGCACTTTCCTGAAAGGTGCAACGTAAACTTCTGACCATGCGTACTGGGTTGACAAATGAGCTACCCAGGGCATTTTTAATCCCTTCTTTTCCCTAATTGTTGACTGAAGTTATACGCATTCTTGTCAGAAGCCCATTTCTGCACATTGCTTGACAGCAAACTAAAAATTCCCTTGCTCTAAATGATAGTTGTAGAAGAGGAGTGTTGGAATTGGATCACCCACTGACTCATTTCGTACCCTTCTGTAGTCCTATGCATATTCCACCAGCGGCGTAGGAACAGAGCAGTGGGGGGGCTGCTCTGAGGCTTGCCCTGTACTTCTCACCGTGGCTTCTAAGGCCCAGTGTGATCTGGCTTGTGCCGAAGCTCACACCCTCCTCTTCCTCACCGGCTGTGTTTCAGACACTGGTGTCTCCTTCTGGTCCTTGAATATGGCTGACCTCATGCTTCTTACACCCGCAGATCTTCTGGTGGCTCCCTCCAATGATGGAGGCCTCAGCTCAGGTGTTGTCTCCTCAGAGCTGTTCCCTCATCAGTTTATCATGTTACCTGTTTTATTTTCATCAGAGCATTAGTACTCTCTGAAATAGTTTTTTTTTAAGTTTTATTTATTTGAGTAGTCTCTGTACCCAACATGGGGCTCGAACTCATGACCCTGAGATCAAAAGTTGCATGCTTTTCCGTCTAAGCAAGCCAGGTACCTCTCTCTCTGAAAGAATTTTATTTACTTATTTATTGTTTGTCTCTTCCATTCTGATGTCAGCTCCATGAGCCCCCAGCATCTGGAACAGTGCCTGGCTCCTAGTAGGTGCTCACTGATAGAAGAAGGAATGTTTTGGGCTCTCTACCCTCACATATCCTTCCCATATCTCATTTCTGAGCTTGTGTAGGTATCTCTTGTTGCTAGTAGCTTAGAACTGTAGCAGTAGTCAAAGCTAAATATCCTCGAGCCTCATGATTTTGCTAAATCTGCCATGCTGCAGTGTTCCCACGGAGCTTTTTCCTTGCCCACATGTAGTAGGTTAGAATGACAACAGCTATTTGGAAATATATGTCCATAAGGTTCAATTAGAGGGTAAATGATCCCTTTGGATTAGAGTTAACTTTATTGTCTCTCAAGTGGTGGGATTTTTATCCTTTGGGCAAGAGCTTATGCTGAGATCCTGGGCAGTAAACGCCATCTTGAATTTGGAAGAATTGAGCCCTATTTGTCAGTCCTGTGTCTCCCCTTGCTACAGAAATACTATTGTCTGGGTACAGACAAAACAGGTGGCCTGGCCTTCTGACTCAGAGACATAAGCAAAGTGGGGCCTTCTTGGACAGTGTAACGCTGTGTGTTTTATGAAGTCTCTGAAAGCCTTAGAGAGGTTTTCCTATTGGGCCCCTTTGAGAATCGGGTAGTAACAGACCCTCTCCTTAGAAAACATACAAGCATCTACCTGTGCACATAGTTTTGCCTGTAATTTTGAGGGGTGTGAGGACTTGCTAAATGCCCTCCACGGATCCTATAGTTCTGTTTGGGGATTTAGATCGGTTTGCTCATCCACCACAGCTGGGTCAAAGCTCTTCCATGGCTGTTTCTTTCTGACCTGGTCTCCTGTCTTCTGTGTCCTCTCTCGTTTTTATAATAACCTGCTGGACCCTCTCAGGCCCAGAAGAGGCGATATTCTCCAGGCGTCCAGGTACTTAGTCTTGACCCACCATGGCCATGCCTTACTCCCTATGTGTCCATCTACCATTTGCTCCTGTTCACACCCATGTGGCTGTTTTCTTGAGAGTCACCAGTCTCTGATTTTAACTGCATCTCCACCTTGCATGTTGACTGTTGAGGACAATGAGGAAGTCACCAGAGAAGTGGCATGTGTCATGTTTCCTCTCCTTTCATCACCCTGCCTCTGCACCGCCTCGGCACTAGGCTGGTTCTTAAATGGTCAGCCCATCATTTCTGAGGACGAATTCGCTCCTCCAACTCTATTGGAGAGACAGGGCCTCTGAAGTAGTGGGGAGATGGGTGGCATATGTGGAAGCTTGTAGTGGGAGAACCTGCCCAGGGTATTACGGGGAGAAGTTATGTGTAGGTGAAGCTGAAGCGGGCTGGAAGGTCTTTCGACTAAGAACAGTCCTTGTGGCTGGAGAACACCAGCCAGCAGCCTGGTTCTGGCAGTGCTGTTTCTGAGTCCTGATCCATTTAGCATCCATCATATGCTTATAGGATTTGAGGATTTGAAAGGAGCTATCCGGAATGGAAAGATTTCCCTGATCAAACAGGTATTTTCAAAGTACCTGCTATGTATAAAACGCTTACTTGGGGGTGGGGGAAGGGAGGTTGTGGGGGATGGAAGGTGGAGACATACAAGTATAGTGATTTTTTTTCTTTTAAGAAGTTTACATAACAACTGGGGAGATAGGTATATATGCAGAAAAAGGAAATCACCAGTCCTGGGCCGTGTATGGATGTGAGTGCCAAATAGTGAGCTCTGGAAGGATTCGAGTCCAGACTCCAGAGGAGCCATTTCAGGCCCACCCCGGGTTGGTAGCAAGGAGGATTCCTGAAGGCAAACGGAGAGGTCAGTTGTTTTCTGGGCCATCCGAGTGTGTGCTCTCAGGGGCTGCTAAGGCTGAGGCAGAGTGGTCGTCTGGTCTGCTGGAAGGGGCTCAGCTTGTGTGTGCACAATCCCTGTTGCTGTTGGTACGGGCGTCCCTAAGAGCGCTTCCTTACTGTCCTCTGTTCTTTCTTCCCTGCTTTCCCAGCGGGTGTTCCCCTATATCTCAGCCATGGTGAACAACGGCTCCCTCAGCTATGATCATGAGCGGGACGGGCGGCCCACAGAGCTGGGGGGCTGCACAGCCATTGTCCGCAATCTGCACTATGACACCTTCCTTGTGATTCGCTACGTCAAGAGGCATTTGACGGTGAGTCCTCGTTTTCTGGACCAGTTGGTGGTATGGGCTGCCTTGCACCTGCTTTCGTGGCCCTGATGTATCTTTTCTTTTTATTCCAGATAATGATGGACATCGACGGCAAGCATGAGTGGAGGGACTGCATCGAGGTGCCCGGGGTCCGTCTGCCCCGGGGCTACTACTTTGGCACCTCCTCCATCACTGGGGACCTCTCGGGTACTGTCACGCGCACTCTTTATTTGTCCTGACTGAGGTCATGTCTCGAGAGCTGGGCCTTAGTGAGGCTTCTCAGAGGGGAGAGCCAGACAAGCAGAGCTGTGGGAAGCGAGTACCCAGACTGTGCTGCTCTTCTGGCATTCTGGTGTCCTTCAACGCCCCCTCCCTGGCCTGGGCCGAGGCTCTCCTAGTGCAGTTGGCTCTAGGAGGCGGTTGGTGCTAATGGAAAGCAGGGTCTGCGTCTTCATCAGGCCAGCTCCTCTAGCCCGTGTTTGGAGTTCTGTGCTTTGCGATGTCTGGTGCCCCTTCTGCAGTCTGGTTCCTTCCCGTCCACCTCCTTGAGGGCTGCATTCCCCTTCTCTTAACAAAGTTCTTCCTTGAGTTCCTTGACTCTGCCGTCCCCCTTCTAACTGCCGCCCCTGGGCCCTGTTTGTGCTCAGACTTTTGAACGTGTCGTGTGTACAGGTCCTCTGTGTCCAGGCCGCAGCGGGGAGGGGTAGAGGGAGAGGGAGAAGCACACTCCCCACGGAGCAGGGAGCCTGATGCGGGACTCGATCCCAGGACCCTGGGATCATGACTTGAGCTGCAGGCAGTCACTTAACCGACTGAGCCACCTAGGTGCCCTGTTGGCATCTTATTGTTATGCAGTGGATTGTTGAAAATGGCTGAGGACAGGGGCGCCTGGGTGGCTCAGTTGGTTAAGCAACTGCCGTCGGCTCAGGTCATGACCCTGGAGTCCCGGGATCGAGTCCCGCATCGGGCTCCCTGCTCGGCGGGGAGTCTGCTTCTCCCTCTGACCCTGCCCCTCTCATGCTCTCTCTCTATCTCATTCTCTCTCTCAAATAAAATCTTTAAAAAAAAAAAAAGAAAAGAAAATGGCTGAGGACACACTCCAGTTGTCCCAGCCTTTGATGCCCCTACATTGTGAGGAGCATTGCCCCAGCTTTTTATCTTGTCTCGTGGCTTAAACAGTCCTGACAGCAAAAACATTTTTCTAATTGAAGGCTAATCTAGTTTTTTCCTATCGGGGTCTGCTAAAGATTCTAAGAGTCTAAGCAGCAGTAGATGCCATCCTACTAATAGAAATGGTGCTTTTCCTTCTTTGGGAAGGAACTGAGGGTCACTTATCTGGAGCTGGGGCAGCCATCTTGCCACCAGCTGGAGGATGAAGATCACAGAAGAGGGTAGAATGGAGAGAATCACAGAGAAATGGTGTACCAGGGCTTCTGGTTACCATGCCTGGAGCCATACGGAGGTTGCAGTTGGAATAATCCTAATACGTGAGGTAGTAATTGATGGATTTTCCCCCCCATATACAAAAATTCTAAGTTTTTTGGTTCAAAGGATGTCTATTTAGGTGTGAGGAAGAAAAAAGTGGGAACATGATATAGTTTCTCTCTTCTTCTGCCAGAAGTCAAGACAAAGTGTGCTAGGAAGACACAAGTCGGGAAGGAGTTTGGGGAATGAATGGTTGAGGGGTCCCCAAATTATTACTCCAAAGTAGAGTTCCTCAGCTGAGAGCAGAAAGGGCAGAAAGTGCCCTGTGCAAATCTGTTTTGCACTATAGTGTTGCACTGTGAGGATCACAGTTTCCTTTGGGCCTAACATAGGTCTTTTTTTTTTTTTT